TTCTGTTTTCTGATTGTTCTTTCATTTTAGCAGTATTGAGAGATTTATCTTCAAACTTAGTAATTCTGGCTTCCATGAATTCAGTTCTATTCCTTTGTCCTTTCATTGTATTATCGATTTCTGCTATTTTGATATTGTTTATCTGAACCTCTCTTTGGAGGTTTTATATTGTCTCCAATGCTTTATCTATTTTGTTTGATTGTTCCTGTGGCACTTTTTTGAATTCTTCCTTGTTTTCCTCAACTTTTCTGTGAAACATTTGGATGATGTACCTCAATATCATTTTCCTGAATTCTTTTTCACATACTTCCAGTGCCTTTTTGTTCTCTAGAGCATTTTCTAGCTCTTTGTCTTTGTCATTTGTTTGTGCTACTCTGTCTTTTTTCTGAGTGTGAACAGAAATTTTCTGCTGCTTGTTAGGCATTGTGGTGGTGTTTTATTTGTATTAAGTTGATGAAGGTATTTTAGTGTCTTCTTAGGCACTTACCAATTGCCTCCTGGTGAATGTGAGCAACAGATGAGCTTCTCTGTTTGTCATTCATACAGTTCAATTCAGAATGGTGTTAGCAGATGTTGGTTGTCATTGCTGGTCTGGTGTATATAAGGCACTAGATTTTGCCCGGTTGGTGGGATTGTAAAGGATACGGCTGTGGCTTGGGTGAATGACCACAGTTCCTATCTTTGTCTCTGTGTGCCTCAGGTAGGTTTCTGCAATATGAATATGCTTACTCATCTCTAAAGTCATTCATGAACTAGTCAGAGGGCTGTGGAAGATTCTGTTGGCTTCCACTACTTGTCAGTCATTTCGTCTCTTGTCATGTCTATTCAACTGTGTCTCCCAGTAAGCACTTGATCCACTTTTTGTCTGTTTCTCTGGAGCACAGAGTTCTAGGATCATAACCTGTTTCTGTCTTGTCCAGTTGTCCATATTCTTGATGCAGAGAGCTTGCACAGCCTTTTTGATTAGTCTGCCATCTGAATTTTCCTCCTGTTAATTGGGTTTTATCCCTCATTGATCATGCAAGCCATATTTTTTAATTGCATTCATTATTGTTGTGGTTTGTTTGACATGCCTGAACAATACCATAACCCCAAGTGCAACAGAATGGAAACACTGTCTGGTCCTGTGTTACCCTCACAATTGTTGTTTGAGTCCATTGTTGTTGCCACGGTGTCATTCCTTCTCATTGGGAGTCCTCCTGTTTTTCACTGATTCTCCATTTATCCAAGTATGATGTCCTTCTCCAGGGACTGGTCCTTCCTGACAACATGTCTGAAGTATAAGAGGTGAAGTGTCGCCACCCTCACTTCTTGAGGAGCATTCTGCCTGCACTTCTTCCGAGACAGATTTGTTTTTTGTTCTTCTGGCAGTCATAATACTTTTAATATTCTTGTCTAGCATCATAATTCAAATGCATCTATCTTCTGCAGTCTTCCTTATTCATTGTCCAACCTTCAAATGCATATGAGGCTATTAAAAATACCATAGTGTGGGTCCTCAAAGTGACATCTTCACTCTTCAACAATTTAAAGAGGTATTTTGCAGCGTATTTGCTAATGCATCATTTGATGTCTTGATTGCTGCTTCCATAAACAATGTTTGTAGATTCCAAGGAAGCTGAAATCTTTGACAACTGGAATCCTTTCTCCATTTCTCATGATGTTATTTATTGCTACAGTGGTAAGTATTTTTATTTTCTTTACACTGAGATGCAATGCATACTGAAGGCCATAGTCTTTGATCTTATTCTGTTTTTTAAGACTTCTTCACTTCCAGTAAACCAGGTTATATCATCTACATATTACAGGTTGTTAATGAGTCTTCCTCCTGTCTTAAT